AGGGCCCGGGCCCTCGGTACCACTATGGTACTAAGTAAATCCACAAGCCTGTAATTGGTGCAATGATACTGTAGTAGTCACCACATTAAAAAAGAGTGTGCTGCTCTGTGAGGCGAAAAAGAAAATCAGGCTATGTCTTTCCTTGGGATAGCCCAAATGGATGGAAGAGCAGATAGGCTTTCAAGAGAACTCCACGCTCTGTGGCATTTGTGGCTAGCCATAAGAAAGGGCTTGCCCAATACCGTTCGCTGGTCTGTGCAGTGGCTGGGTGAAGTTGGGATCTCAGGTCACCTTGCCCATGGGGTGAGTGACGTCATGAGTAAATTACGCAATTCACGGATGTGTGGGATGACTTCTCTTTGCAGGCTGGAGGGGATGCAGCTGACTGTGCCCTTGATTGTTCATCACAGAATTCCCTCCCTCGTAACGTCCTGGAGCAGAACCCAGGACAGAGAGGTGGAAGGTGACAGACAGCTTCTGGCTCACTGGTCTCCCGGATCTTTGGTTGGGGAGCCTGACATCCTAATGTCTCACTCTGCATTTCTAGTCCTACATCCATGTCTGGCAATAAAAAATGTCTCAGCGCTCTAAGAGGACAAAGAACAAAATCGCCTCTCACGCATGACTTCTACAACTAACAAGGACTCTGTTGTTGAACTTCATTTCTTGCTGGCAGAAATAGCATCTGGCAAAGTGCAATTTTAAGACCAGACCTATTTGCTTTAAAATTAAATACAATAAAAAATTAGCCAGAGTGGAATTAAGGTCATATGGCTAAGAATGTTGTCAGAAAGTCTGGTGCTCAAATCTTCTGTGGCCCGGATGGAAGGTGCAAGAAGGCTGCCCTTCTAGATGAGGCAAAGACTCCCTTCTGCTGTCATTCAAATTGAACAACATGCCACAAGTAAAAATCGAGTATTAAAAGTAGTTTAGTTGGAAGCCTATGGCCTCATAATGTGTACCTTTGCTGTGGACTATCAATACATTAAGCCTTTGTTAAATTGGCAGATTTTCCCAGTTTAGTTTAGAAAACAAGTTCGAAAAAATATTATCTTTAGAGTTAGAGGGAAAACAGTTGTGAAATGTTCTAAAACTTTTTTCTTGTTTTTTGTCTAACACAAGTGAAAGGTGAAGTACTCTTCCTCTAAGAGATCCATAACAGCTCAGCTGCTCATTGTTCATTGCTCAACAGTTAGGTCTGTTCTTGAAAAGAATTAGATGGGCAAACACTGAATACCACCCACGGTGTTGCAACTTTCCATCTTGAGAGTGAGACACCCCATCACTGGAGTGGCTTAGTTATGGGTAAAGAGAAGACAGATCAGGATTTGGTGCCAGAGGGCAAATCAGCCACGGTTCTTGATTCCCAGTCCTTCAGCAACTGCAACATGACGTTTTCCATTTGAAAAGAAGAAACCAGTGCCAGTGCTTCCTTCTTTAGTTCTGAATGTATGTCTCTTGCACCTGGCAAGGTTGGCAAAAATTGGAGCCCCACTACAACCTGATGTCCTGAGCCACAAGCTTCCCTTCCCCTAAGACTATGGTGCAGCCTCCCCCGCTCTCCAAAAGTTGATTCTGAGTTATATTTTTAATGGGAAAAAAGAGCAAATCTACTCAGTATTTGAGGAATGATCATATCACTATTTTAATTTGGTTTTAATTGAATTAAAATCTGATCAAACCCAATTTAGGTATTGTCTTGGAACTACCTATTCTTTTTGCCTTGGCCCAGCCACAGGGTTCTGGGGCACGGCCCCTGGCAGTCCATTCAAAGTCCACACCCAGTCTTGGATCCAAAAACGCCTCACCTGCCCTGTGCCTTAGGTACCGACCAGACTCCCAACTCCTGCCTAAAATGCTGTCAAGCCAGTCGTCGTGCAGTGGGGAAAGGTTGGTCTTAGGTAAGAACTGCCTTCGGCACCACTGCGGCTATCACGCTCTTTCAGTCCAGGATGTTGTTGAGATAAAATTAGTTATCTAAGCTGCCTTCAACTCATGAAGAAAAATCGGGACAAAAATACAATCCATCAATCAACAATTAAACACTGTTATAAATAACTTCTGTAAAATTATTTGAATCCCAGAAAATTCTTGAAGTCTATTATTGATATTTCATTACACTGAATTGTAGATAGTGGTTTTCCTTTTTACATGCAATACCAAACATATTGCCAAATCCCAACTTCACCCTAAAGAAATTCCTGGAGGTATGAGGGCATTTCTCCAAAACTATTACTATTTCTGCCCTGAGAACAGAAAGTATATCTTGCAAATATTTGACAACAAATTGGACACAAGGACTCCCCAAAAAATACAACACTGGCCCATCATCAATGGCCACTGAACGAGGGTGAGAGAATTCTATCCCAATTTCGAACAGTGACCAGGTAGACCCAGTGGGTATTTCTATCTTCAGCTGGAGGGACTGGAAGATGTAAGATCTTAAATTATTACTACTATTTATTAAATTGACAGGCTACTCCATCCCAACTCTGGGCAGCATATAGATGGACTCTCCAAGGGAGAGAAGAGGATCACAAGTTTCCTAATTACCAAAATGTTCCCTCCAAATCATTCCTGGCCTTACCTGCAAGGCCTTGTAAGCGATGCACCCACTCCAGAGTCTCTCCGCTCCCGCATTTCTATATCCTCAGTCTCATTCAAAGAGTGGGGAGTGTTCTCAAAGTCACTGGTGGAAGTGCCAACGTCAGACATGGAATGATTCTCCAAGTTCAGGTTGGTGGGCTCCTCTCCAGAATCTGACTCCTCATCCCTTTCCTCCACCTCAATAGTTTCATCTTCCATGCTCAACCTAATTGCCTTTGACCAGAACTCTATTTTTTGCTGGAGCCCCCAAATACATTCCAGGATGTCATCTAGGTTTTTAAAGATCTCTTCCGAGTGCAGATCAAAGATGTCATCCCCACTCCCAAATTCAGGAACATTATCATATTGGCTGGTGCAGCTATATGTGGAACAGTTTGAAGGGCTCCTTGGTCGGTATTCCAGGGCACCAGGAGAGTTGTCCACAAGGATACTACTGCTGATTTCAATTCCACCTGCCAAAGGGATTGAGGCTTTGGGGCTAGATTTCCAGTCTGTCAAGCAGCTGCTGTCCAAGGGGCATAAACCTTCAATGGAGAGAGATTTGGGGAAAGTGCCTGGTATACAGTCCCCTGGGATGTGGAATAAAGAATCCCTTTTAAATTCAGTTTGGTAATCCCACCTTCTGGCATCCCATTTCTTGTTCAGAGTTGTTTCATAATCCTCTAAATAAATGCTACCATGTTTGGGCTTATATTGCAGCTTGTTTCCAACTGAGGCCAGAGCCTGATTAGTCCCACAGCCTGTTGAGAGAAGAGTTTTAGTGCGGTAGAAAGAACGTGAAATTTCATTTCCTACTACAACCTCCGTCCCAGAGACAGATTCCTTGGTGTCCTTCAAAGAGTTCCAACTAGACGTAATGTGAGTTCTATCCCCAACTTGAGCTTTAGCAGAGTCCAATTTCTCCTTGTCCTTCCTTCCCAGAGATTTGATTCTTTTGAGGAAAGTCCATGTCTGACGTTTCTTGGGTTCTTCCTTGTGTTTTTCATTTGAAGACCGCGCTGTTGGTGAATGGTTGCTCAAGCTTTGGATAGAGTTGGTTAAGGTTGGAGAGTTCTGGGTGGAGGATGAATGGGGTGGCATGACCACAAGAGCCAAGGTCCCACCAGTACTGTCGGTGCTGTGCAGTGAACTGGCCTCCAAATGAGTGCTAATATTTTCCTGGCTGGAAAATTTCTTCATTGTGAAGTCTCTCTGCAAGCTCTCTCCAAGATATTCATTTGAACCAATTTGGGAGCATCTTTTGCTGTTCCTTTGGAAGGCCCATTGTTCACCAATAGCACAAAAGTCTTCATCATCCAAGTCTTCATTCTAGATCAAGCACAGAAATCCGAGTCATTGGACAACCAGGTGGGCAGAGACTGGATCCAAAGGAGCCACGGCCTCTTTGCACATTCATAAACCCTACTTTATGACCTCAGCTAGATGACTGCCAATTGATTCAGAGAACTAATCCAGAAGAATTGTACACTGGATTACCTGGCCCGTCCCCTACCATTCATTCAAAACCTAACTGTGAGAGAATCTTCAGGGTAATTACTGAAAGTCCATCTTAAATTGGTGATTCTTTTGAAAGGGCAAAACACATCTCTTTTAATTATTTATATCCATTTTAGTCTCCTTTCCATACCAGTAATCTCAAAACCTCTTAATCATAATTCAGATCAAGGAACTACACAGGTCCTGGGCTACTCATGATACCTTCTCTTGGAATATGGGTAGTTTCTCAAATTAAATATTAAAAATTAAAATGACAGGAATCTCGTGAGAATTGGCAATCCTTGAATTGGGGGAGGGTGCCTAGAAAGGCGGTCGATCTCCGATAGTGCTGCAGATTGGGCATATGATACCAAAGAGTTTTGTGTGGACCAGAATCCCCTCAACTGCATCAGTTCCTGGAATACTGAGATTTCTGGGGCTGGATACGATGGGAGAGGATAGATTGAGGAGGGTGGGGAAAAGTTTGGTCTACTGGTGAAGGCACCAGCCTAAAAACCAGGAGACTCTGAGTTCTAGTCCTGCCTTAGGCATGAAAGCTGGCTGGGTGAC